GAGTTTGAGCTAATTCATTATTTGCATGTAGTAGCACATTTGAGGTTGGTTTATACATCAGCCTTGACAAAATTGCTGTTTGCATTTATGAAAAATGAATTTATGAGGCTCCAAGTATACTCCTGTATTATGTTCTGTGTGGGAACTGAAATTAGAGTGCAGGAAGCTATAGTTGTAGCAGTAATTTTTTTTTTTTTTAATTTCTGTTTCAAGTTGATAAGATTTTTATGAAGTATACACTGAATTCGGTACAAGTTTTTGCTTGACTAATGGCTTCATAAATCTTTTGCTTAGCCAACTGTGTTGGAAAGAATTAATAAAATCAAGCAAGTTGCTTTGGAAAACAAGCCTAGTATTTCAACATTCTTCAGTTAGTAAGATAGCTTTGTAGACAGTGATTTTTTTTTTTTTTTAAGCAAGGATAGGGAAATTCCTTGGAGGCAAGTAATATTATAAATATGTATATGTATGTGTGCATACAGGTTTTTAAATGATGAACCATTAACATTGCAACAAGAAGAATAAAAGTCTTCAGACCTCACTTAGGACAGAGCAAAGCACGTGTAGCATCAGCCATACAATTCACTTCTATGGTGTCTGTTTTTCTGGATGTAGTGGTGTTGTTTCATGATACTATCCTATACTGTATGTGGTTTGAACATAAAATTGTTCTTTCCCACTTGAGCATTCATAGTTTGTGTTACTTGTGGATGACTCATTTAATAAATCAGCTGAAGTGCATTTTTTAAAAGTCTGTTCTTTCAGCAAATGTTGTACTAGGCACAGTCAAGGCATGCTGTGTTTTCTGGGAAGCTGAAAAAAGCAGCTGTTCCATCAGCTAGCTTTTAGTTGTAGAGAAAATTAAGCAGCTCCAGTGCTGTGAAAATGTAACAAATACAACTCAAAGAATTTAAGTCAAGTAAACGGGGAAAAAAATTCTACTGCCTTTTTGTACTTAAATAATACTGTTTAATAAAGAACTATTTCCCCACAAGATTAAAATGTTTCTTGAAAAAACAAGGAAGGTCTCCTGGTGCAGGGAACTGAGTGGGATATGCTCTTACAAAAGATTAGGACAGCATGACCAATGTGAAACCTGCTGGATATTGGCCAGGAAAAAAAAGCAACATCTGAGTCATGAGGTTAGAAAGCAGCATTGACAGAAGAGAAGAGAAAAATACTTGAAGGATAATGAAACTTCATATATATATATATATATATATATATATATATATATATATAATAAAATAGCAATAATAGCTGGCTTATAGTAGTTAATAGCTTGCACATTAACTTCTAAAATGATCAGTTTTCATTTGGGAGGGGAAGGGTGCAGGTGTTTCTGTGCTTTGAATGGTAACTTGCAGGGGGGAAACTATTGCAGCTTGTAACCATTTCCCTTTGCATGTCATTTCCTGCTCATGTCTTCAAGGAGCAAACCCAGTGCAGGGGACTGTTGAGCAAGTGAAGAGACACCCTCACCACAATTAGAGTTTTATAACTTAACAGAGTGCAAACAGGTTTTTCCACTTGCTTCTCAAAATTGCTGCCACGTATCTGCTGTGCTTATGCCAGATTAACTCATTGGACAGTGTGAAAAGGATGCATTAAGTGTTGATTCACGGACTTCCATACCTTGCTTAAGGTATAATAGCTTAGGGTGTCTGTGCAGCAAGTGCTCCTGAAAAAACTGGGGGGAACTAACACTAGTGTTTCCAAACAGAATATGGCAGAAGAATAATCTGTTTCTTCCTAATTTCAAATATTTAATTAAGTTTTTTTTAGGATTCTGTAAGTGAATCAATTTATAGATTTGCAAATAAATTTTAAAGAAATGAATTAATAGAATGAAACATTTCCTGCTTAAACTGTGATACATGGACAGGTATATTGCTGTTTCAGAGAGATGAAAAAAGATTGAAGCTGTTAGGTGACTGGAGCAGACTGATGAGGGAACACTTTATATCTCATTCTAGTACTGAGTGTGGAATATTCTTAGATAACTAAAAATCAGTAGATGTATTTTATCTATTTCCTGGCTTCTTTTCTTTTCTCTTTTTTTTGTTTTTTTTTTTTTTTTTTTAAATTCAGCACTGCCTGTGAAGATTGTTCAATTCTCTAGCGTATAGCATAAAAATATGGTCATGACTATAGAGAGCATTACTGTTATCCTGCTCTTCTGCACTGTGTCTATGCAGACTTAATTACTTCCATGTCAGAGCATATGTGAAATTTGTGTATAGGCAGGTTTTTTGTGTATTATGTGAATCCAGATTTTTGTTTTCATTGCCCATCATGGCACGCATGGGTTTGACAAGTGCAGATGTGCAATGTGACTTTTGCAGTGTTGCGCTGTCTTACATCATAACCATCCATTGAGCTTCTACATGTGCAGACACTGCATTCTGATATCACTACATTGTTTTGCCTCAGTTTTAGAGACTTTCACATTGGGTGTAACTTCATTAAAAATACTTGTGCTTTGCTGGGAAGGTGAGATGTCAGTACCTGCTTGATGTTGTTTTCTGGGCAATGGGTGCTACATTAATGAAAAGTAATTTTTGGGTTTGTATTATAACACTTGGCAGCTGTATAAAATAGGTGTTTAGCAGTTTGTGTTACTGTTGCTGGAAAAAACTTTAGAAGTAGCATTTTGTAGTTAGTTCTCAAAGCCTGTAGCGCTTCATAATTTAAATGTTCAATCCTGTTTCACTAACCTTGATAGGAATTTGTGATTAACAAATAATCAAGATTGCTGGCAGGCAGTCTGCAGCTTTTCCAGTTGTATTTTGCTGTTCATGCAAGTACATAGGTGTCTCTGTTTTCTGCTGACTGTCTCATTCTTTTGGATCTCACTCTGTTTTTTGGAATACTTGGAGAAGTTATTTTTCCTTTTCCCTGAAAGCTTAGGACGTTTGCTTTGTTTATAAACTACAGTATTTGTCACTGTCATTTGTATTTGTAGCACTAGTTTTATGATTAATTTTCTTTATGTACTACGAGTGGGAATGTTTGTTTATCCCTTTTGTAAAGATAAGATTGATTTCTGATACCATCAGATTACAGTTGTGCTACCTTTACATCTAGATGGGCTACTTGTCTTTGACTAAAATCACTTAATTTCCAGATAACAGTTGTAACGTTAGCTCTTTCCATCTGCCTTTAAGAAAGTAGTCAGCTGGGCAGATCCATAACAGTTTATATTTCTATTAAAGCATATAGAAGTAGGAAGAATAGTAATAATAATATGCCACTTAGCAGGGCAAGAGGATGTATGCCGTGCATCGCATACTGCTGATGGCAGTGAGCAAACTGACACTGCCCCTCCTCTGCAGTACCCTCTGCCCACTTGGTGGCTCTAGCACAGAAGAAAGCCACATTCCTGGGTCAGACACATGGATGCACTCTAAATGCCTGTGAAGGGATGGGTGTCCAGGAATGGGTTTTCAGAAGTCCAGGACTCATAAAAGCAGGTAGTGGGCTGAGAGTGGAATGAACTCACTTGGCGGAACAAGAAGGGGAACCCCAGTTTTCTTCTCATTCAGCCTTTACTCACTCTTCCCTACAGTTGCTGAATTTGAGAGTTGTGCTGAGTTTTTCTGGCATGTGATTAATGTTAGATTTTGCAATGGACCTGCTTTCTCTCTTCTAGTACATGTCAAAGTAGAAGGTGGTCTGTGACTCAGATGTGAGTGGCACTCTCTAAAGGTTGACTCATGTCTTAGTCACCCTACTTTTCTTAAGGAAATTTTGGTGAGTGTAGTCTTGAACTAGTAGTTACCTAAATTCAGTAGCTCTGTCTTCACTAGGTAATTGTTTTTATTCTAATAAATATATTTCCAGTTTACTTGTTACATCACAGTTGTGTTCCTCAAAATACCGTGGGAAATGCTGTGTTAGGCATAGTTGTCTGCAAAGTCAGCTCCTCTGCTTTTAATTTTTCCCAGTATGTGTGAAATTTCTTAGCTTGTTTTATCAAAAAAGCCACAATAGAAACACCCACTGAATAACCTGAAGTAAAACTGCCTGATGAAGTCTTCTGAGCAGCCTATTACATCAAATAGATATGAAGAACATACTCTGATATCATCCAGTCTTTCCTATTACGTATGACAACATGTAATTACAAAGGTAAAAAAAACCCCATTGCCTATGAGCACAAATTCCACAGAATGTCAGCAGAGCCAGTGGCACTTTTTTTTTTTTTCCTTTATTAGGTGTTTTGATAGATCAAATCTGCTGACTACTGCAGACGTAGTTAAGGATAATATATCTCCAGTAGCCCATCCCAAATCTGGAGGTGATTAGTGCTCCCTCATACGGGAGTGGCAGACCAGCATGGTTGCTTATATCTCAGTTGTTTCAGCTCAGCATGGATATTTTATGTATCAGTGTTCCTCAGGAGCAAGGAAAAGTCTGAAAAATCTAAATGTGCCCCCCTTCAACTTAAACTGCAATCCTTGTCTCCAATATTGTTCATGTTACTAGAAGTTGTAGATCAGAAACTTGAAGAGATGTCTTTAAAATGGATCAAAGACCAGATGTCATTGTTAAAAGTGTTGACTTTAGCACTTGCCATAGGCAAATAATGAGTCAATACCAGACCTGTGGGAAGCACCTGAGTTTCTGGGTTTCTGTGCTTCTTTGCCATCACCTCTTTGGCATGAGCATGCTCATTTCATAGCCACAATAATGATTTGGTAAAACACTGTTTACACACCTTGCATCACTAGAGCAGTGTATAATAATATTAACTTACTTTTATTACTGTAATTTTGTATATATGAAAATATTTTGGTTGGAAAAATCATCCTGATTTTTAGTATTATCAGAAGGCTACACTGTTTAAAAATTAATGCTTCAAACATACATAACCTTTTTAAAAAAGTTTTGCAAAATGCTGAGAGTGCATATATATAATTATTATATACTTGATAAGTATTTTGGAGTATATTAGTTTTCTTTCACATGCATTTTCTAGACTTCAAGCATGCTTACGTCCTTTCCCTTAGAAATTACTGGACAGCCCCATTCATACTCTGCAAGAACTTCAATAAGGTGGGTTTTTGTTTCACCTGTAGTACTGAGAACTACTCTGAATCTTGGCATCTACATCAAGATTAGGAGACTTAAAGACCTAGTATTTGTTAGTTATTATCATCATCTCCTGTGATTAAATGCTGTTGAAATTACAAACTTAGGCACAGCATTTATACAACAATATTCTGTAATTAAAAACAGCCAACGTACTGGAACTTTGGCATTTGTAAAAACAGTGGTGAATAACTAACCTTTCACTCATCAGCTTTGTAAGTCCCTGCAAGCAAGAGGTATAGAAATTAACTTACCAGTTCCAGCAAATCAGTCTGGGTCTGGTTTCTTTGTGTGTTTGTTTCCCTGTTTTAAGGGCATAACCTAGGCAAGGCTAGTCAGACTTGTGAATCTGACAGAAGTGCTGACATCCAATATCAAATGTTCAGTGTGGCAGCAACAATAGCTCCTGCTATCCCATCTGGTAATGATCAGATATTAGTTATTTTTAAAAATACAAGTAACGGGTATTTGCAGAGCATAGTCCATTTAGGCTCCTTTTTGCTGAAGATGTGATTAAGAAAAAACAGTTTGTCCTGGTTTAGGGCAAATTTGTGAGAAAACCTTCAACCCCGCCCCCACCCCCCCCCGGGAAGCAAACCCACGTGGCCCCTTTCTCCCACCCCGCAACCAGTTCAGGAAGAGATTTCTCTGAGAGAAGTGGAAAAAACCTGTTTATTTAACGGGCAAAGCACTACCCAGCACAAGAATGAACAATACCAAATTACAAAACCTCTCACCGCTCTGAAGAGATGACAAACTTCAGAGGGTCTCTTTCCTGTGGGTGTTCGCTCTGTTATCAATCCCTCTGGCGCTGGAAAATGCCGCTGCCCAGGCTGGGCTCCCGGTAGTCCACGGGTGCAAGCTCCTGGTGCTCCCCCGAGTCCCCAGTCCAGAGCAGGTTCGATTCGTTTCAAGGAAAAGGGAAAGAAAACAGACCAGGAAGACCTCTCTGCTTCGGCTAGTTGGAAAGCCAAGGTGATCTGTCCCTTATTGTCTTTCTGTGCTGTAGTCAAAACCCTGTCCTGGGATGCGGGGGGAGCAAGTATCAAGTTACATTATCAAGTCTCTGATAACAGACTTGGTCTCCTTCGCTCACTTTTACTCTCAGATGATGTTTTAAGGATGCAAAACTTATTTCTGGGCTAGAGAGATGAATGGGGATACAATCTAACATCACAGTCACCCCAGGACAGTTTTAGAAAATTCTTGTAATTCTTGAGCCTTTGACATATAAAACAGTAGATGAATAGGTGGATATACTTTTATCTCCCGCTATTTCCTCATCCCAAACAAAATAAATAATATCTCTACACATCTTGATTTTTTTTGTTATTATTTTATATTTTTTTTTGGTATATGAGTGCTTTTATTTTCCTAACAGTTGAACAAGGGGTGTCAACAATGCTTAATATCAACTGTGTACCACTATCACCATTTATTGCCATGGTAAAGGGCAACTTAACCCAAGCAAAAGCAATGCATTTCTGTCAAGTACCAGATCATTTAGTCAGGAAAACTAGCACTGACAGCATAATTAGTTTCTCCCTCTCACCCCTCCCCCTAAAAAGAGATTTGGTGGTGGTGGACATAAGTACTTTTGACAGAATTCCTTGCATGATTTGCTAAAGCACTTTTACAGAAATGCCTCTTGTAGCAGGTATACTTCTGATTTGACCGCACATTTCTTCCATGTGATGTCTTTTTCTTTGACATATCTAATCTAACTTTAGACAGTCTTTGACTGGCAATTTTCACCTTCTAGGAGGTGATTTATATTACCAATGTAATACTGGAGTTTGCTCAAAATTCTTATGGAGAGTGTCACAGCCTGAACTGGCCAGATTGTTTCAAGAGCCTGACTTTGCTGTCAGATGCTGAATTACCGTAATTACTTTTTTTAGCTGGATTCCCTGTACTCACTCTATCTAATTATCCCATCTTACCAGCTTCTGAATGAATTATTTTCAACCAAGTTTGATAGAGGGGAAGAAGACATAGGTCAAGAACTCAAAATGCTCAGTGCTCATCAAATTATGTGTAAGTTAGCTCCACCTAAAACACTAAAGAAAGGGTGGGGAAAACTGGCTTAATAAAGGCCTGGGCTCAGCAACAATTTCAGATAGTGTGAATACCATTTTTCAGGAATTTGTATCCCCCTTAAATACAGATATAACATGGATTGTAAAATATTCTTCCTGCAAAAAAATTTTGGAGGGGATCTTGACTGCAAATTAGGTAAAGTTTTTCAGTGTTAAAACATAAAATCCACTGGCATTACTATGCTAAGATCTGACTCAGTCTCCCTAATTACCATTAGGAGTTTGCCAATGAATTCAGCAAAGGCATGATCCAAGTAGGAATGTCAGTATTAGTTATGGGAGACTTGAACATCCTAAATAGGTGTTCCCATCTGTTATTGATAATACCTCAGCATGTTACAAACCTCTCACCATTTACAACTTAGGTTTGGCACACAAGTGGAAGCCATTCTGAGGAAATCCGTTTGCCTAAGAATGGCCTTTAAAAATTAAGGCTGTATTTTCTTCTTTGAGTTTTTGTATTCCTTGAGAGCAGGAGATTGTGAGGAAAGTGTCATATTACAGGTATCTATGTAGGAATGTAAAAAAATTTTCCTTAGTACAATAGGATAACATGGTATATGTTAATTTTTATGACCTCGTCTCATTTCAGATGAAGAGGTTATCTGTCCTGCCCCAAGGGTATCTTTTGTTGATGACATGTCTCCTAATGGCTTTGGAAGCTGTACCCATAGACATAGATAAGACAAAAGTCAAAGCAGAAGGCCATGTAGAAGGAGAGAAGGTAGAAAATCCAGTAAGTATAAAGAAACTGATCTGATTAAGTGTTTATCCTAATTGTTAGTAATCTGGCAAACTACTTTAGAAGGAAACTAATTGTTAGTGTGTGTGCTATCTGCTGTGGGGAGGTTCTGTTTAAATTTGCTCTTTATTTTTTTTCAATGGGCTGCTAAAGGTGAGGTGGCACATGGAAGAAATGCCCAGCTTACAGCAGGAAGAGCATACTGTTCAATGGAGACTTACTTCAAGTGACTGGGTAGTACTTTAGGAAATTCCACTCACCGATTCTAGTTCAGTGTTTCAACTAGAACAGTAACAAATGAATTGCACTGTTTTAAAAGAGCCAGACACTATATTAACATGACAGATGCTTGTGTATTACAAGGATTCCTAAACACTTCTCTTCCTTGTCAGTTGCTGAAACAAACGGATCATAAATTGCTATAGAGCAATGATGCAAATCTGAAAACACAAAGATATTTTAGACAGCATAGTGCCTGTGTTGCTAAGATTAGAATGCCAGTTTAATAACTGTATTTAAACAAAACTAATTAATTGCTTGTCAGTATAGTCTTTTCTCAATTTCCCTTTTTTGTTTTTTTTTTTTTTAAAGGATACAGGACTTTATTATGATGAATATCTCAGGCAAGTAATAGATGTCTTGGAAACTGATAAGCATTTCAGGGAGAAACTCCAGACTGCTGACATAGAAGAAATAAAGGTAGGTTTCAAAAAAAGGATTTAATTGAGCTTAATTGAATCTGTAATCATAAGCCATATATATTGTATTCTTTCTTCCTTTAGTTCCTGGCTCTAGGTGGTGGCTGTTGTGCATTGTTCCTTCAGGAGCTAGAAATTTAGGAAGGGAAGAGCAGGAAACAGTCTAAAGTGACTTAGGAAGTAGGTCCTGCTTCTTGTGTTTCCTTTAGTTCCTCATGTTGCTGTTGGCAGCTTGTGGCATCTTTTCTTTCTGTGCTGTATCTGGTGTCACCCTTGGAGATTCCTCTCCATTTCCAGGTTCTTGCAATACACATCAGTGGCTGCTGCTGCCTTGTACCTCCCCTCAAGCCTAACAGCTCTCCCTGAGCGGATGAGACATTTTGTGTGCTTCTCACAGTTCTTTTGAACTCAGTTGTGAATGTTTGATCAAGAAATTTGTCACAAATGTTGTTAGGCATTGTTCCTTACAGGTTATGGTCTTGCTCTTTGAAGGAGCAGGATACTTAGAAATTCTCTTTTCTGAAAGCTTTTAGGATTCCTCTCTGTTTCCATAACCATAGGCATAAAAATTTTGAATCTGCTCCTTGAAAAAATGTTGAGATTCTTACACGGGCTACAGTATTGCCAGAGACTGCCATTAGTTTGCTGTCTTGCAGCTTGTGTCTAATGGGAATCCTAAAGAATCCTAAAGAAATTCTTTCTTTCAGTGTTTTTGCATGACTTTTTTGTTTTTTGACAGAGTGGAAAGCTAAGCAGAGAGCTTGATTTAGTAAGCCACCATGTGAGAACACGGCTGGATGAACTAAAAAGGCAAGAGGTAGCAAGATTAAGAATGTTAATTAAAGCTAAAATGGATTCTGTTCAAGGTAAGAATACAGAATTAATCTAGGTGAGTTAACAGATGGAGTTGTGTTAGAGAAATATCAAAGTCCAGCGGTTGTACATTGTTTGTTGTCACCAATAATGAGTAAGCTGAGAATAAGTGTCCTTTCTGAGCTGGCCTGGAGCCATTAGAGACCTGTCTTTGTAGGAAACTGGAGAGAAGAGACAAGCTATCTCTGACTTTCTCTAAATAACTGAATTTGTTTCTGTCAGTGGATTTTTCCGATACTTCTACGTCTTATTTTCAGCCTCTTATTTTTGTAATGCATCAGTTCATAGAGGACTCACAGAGAACCAGTAGCATAATAGGACTGTGTTTAAGTAAAAAAACATGACAGTATCATATCCTTAGCGGGTAGAAAAGGACTTTTTTTTTGGTCAGGTTTTTTTATTATTATAAAGATGTTTGCAAGTTTTCAAGGGGGATCCCAAGGAATTGAATACATAATGCATCAAATAAAATATTCCTAGAATGAGGATCTGTCTTGTAGGCTAATTTAGATGTGGCAAATAGACTGAAGAAGTGTGCATATGCAAATGAATGCTTATGGGGATGTTGTTCCTGTTGCAGACAAGGAGTCCAGCGACATCATGGTGACATTCACAGCTAGGTGACAGCAGCTAATGATACCTGGGTGTGTACATAGTTGTTTTAGGAATTTTGAAGTTCAATGGATTGATCACTTCTACCCTCTCTGCTTTCATAAGTCAATAGTAACTAACAGAGTGTGCTTTAGAAAAATAATTTTCCTCAGTACCTCAGATCTTACTATGTAAATATGAGATCTTACTTTTGGGAACATATTATTGCAGTTCAGAATATTCAGATGAGTGCTAAGATGTTAAAACATTTTGCAAAGCTTATAGTCAGCTTTGGCAATGAATGATTCATACCGAGTATGGCTAGATTACCTATAAAACACAGCTGCATCTACACACCTAGACAACATCTTGGATTATGCAAGATAGAATATGGAGAATTCTATCCTAGACAGAGTGGTTTGACTTCCTTTTATTTGCTCTTGTAATCTTTTCCCTATAGCACCGCTTAGTATCTTAGTCTTCTGTCGGATCTACAAAAAGAAAAAAAAATGCACATGAACCCCTCCTCTTTTCTATCATCTCAGCTGGATCAGGTTTAAAAAACCCCAGATGACCAGATTTGAGATTATATTCAGCATATATTCAGTCCTCATCCAGATATGGTTTTAGACATTTTCACCAAGATCCTACTTAACTGATTAGTACAGGCCAGAAGAACATTAGGAGCTGAGTCTCAGATCATACAGTAATGTGGCAAGTAAATAGTGTCAAATATAATGAATCTTTTTCCCTAAGTGTAAGCAATGGAGAAAAATGGGTTTGGGGGCTGTTATTTTTATTGTTTGTTGGTTTTTCTTAAGTCTATTATTACACTTCTAAAAATGTTTCAGTCTCAAAGACACATATATTTAAACAGAAATTATGATTTCACCAGGGAGGAATGATGGTTGAAATCTGCCCTGGCCAGCATTTGCTTTTTTGTCTTAATACAAACACAGTATTGATTGTAAAGCAGATAGTTTGTGAAAGAACAGGATGTTCAAAAATGTGTTTTTCAGTTTTTTTAAACAAAATATTCTTTGCTAAGCCGTCTAGTAAAAGCTCGTCAGAACTGTTGTACTTAACAAGAAGCTTAAGAAGCATACACTTCTTAAGAGCATGTTACTATGTAGCATTAGTGTTCAGAGACGATACTAACAGCTAGAAAAGCTGTGGTAGAAATGTGTTTAGTTATTACTGCTTTGTGTGTTGTATATTGGTGGGTATCACTCCTGTCACAAGGAAGAGAAAATGTTTCCAGCTTTTAGACACAAGACCTGTGTCTCCACTGTCTTTCACTTCATTTTTTTCCACAAATGAAATTTGAATATCTGCTCATTTGATTTGATACAATTTTATGCCATATTGTAGATGAATCTTTGGAAATATGTGTGTCATTTGCAAAATGTTCAGGGCAGTAGAAGAATTTGAGTTCTCCCAGTGCAGGAAAAATATGCAAGTTGTTAGCTTTGGAAGAGCACAATTTCATCTATCTCATTTATATAAAAGAGAATAAAATATATTTTTTAGTTTGTAAAGCTCAAATTGATCATAGTTTCCCTTACTGAAACAGAAGCTGTAATTTGTGCATGTAAGATGATTGTGTGCAATGCAGCACTGACCCAACAGAAGGAATGTAGTGCAAATTACCATCAAGTTTGTCAACTTCCTCCAGGAAAAGCAACTTTAGAAATATTACTGTAGTTTCCTCCAACAATGATGAAATCACCCAATCCTCTGAGATCCTCAGGCACAAGCTCCCATATAGAAGACTTTAACTTGTTGATTTTGCTGGATTTCAAACTTACTTTAATGTTTTACACATGTACCTTCTTCTTCCAGACACTGGTATAGACCATCAGGCTCTCCTTAAGCAGTTTGAGCACCTGAACCATCAGAATCCTGACACCTTTGAACCTAAAGACTTGGATATGCTGATCAAAGCAGTGAGTGCCAGATATGAACTACTGTGGGGGCTGGGGTTTTAATTATTATGCTTTTTACCTCTGGTAAGGGGAAGTCCTTTCCTATATACCACATTCTATAAATGCCATGCAGTTTTCATTTCATCAGAGAAAAGCAATTTCTCTCCTTGCACACCTGAAAACTGTTGGCAGTGTGCATGATGCAGAAGAGTCCATAAATTTTGGGATGTCACCTTAACAGGACTTAACATTCATATGCCAGTATAAGCAACTTGGGGAATAAAACACACCTTTCTGAGAACCTTAAAATTAAATACAGGTGAGATAAGGGTACATTTTTCCCAAGTGTTTTTTTCTGATTTCTGTTTCTAAATGACATAGGAGTCTCACAAAATGATATAAATAAACATCTCTAACCTAGCCATATGAATTTTGGGATCTCATATATATATATATGTATATATGTATATATGTATATATGTATATATGTATATATGTATGTATATGCAGATATAGATATAGATATAGATATCAAGCTGCAAAACCACAGCAGAGTGGGATTTGAGATAGCAATATTAGAAATTGCTTATACTGGGCATGGCATTCAGTGTCTGTTCAGCAGATTGAGTATCTGTCACAGGTGTGTGGTTTTTTTTTCAGTGCCTGTTTATTCAGGGGATGCAGTTAGCCTAAGCAGGGCATGGCTTTTTTCAACTGCTAGAGAAAAATACACTTCCCGAGGGGAAAAATGTCTCAGATGTGGTTTAGAGAGCACTGCAGATTGATGGGAGAATTTGACAGTTTTTATACTTTCAAAAGAAATTGAAAGGTAATTTCTGTGTAATTTTTTTACTCTTGGAAGATTTTTTTGCTCCATTTTCTGTAGAATTTTTTTTAAGAGATATTGTAATTTTTCTAAACATTTCTGAATATCACTTCTGGGAAAATTCTGGTTGGCTTGGAGAAGCATATCCTTAACAGGGCAGTTCTTTTTCATTATGTATTTCATTGTTTTGTCTTCTCATTTCTCAACCAAGATACCAACAGGATGTAATGGATACTTAAGGGGGTCTTAGCTTTGGAATTGCTTTTTAAAACATATAATGAATCTGAAAAGTAAAATGTAAATAATGGACAGTATCAGGTGTAAACATGTTCCTTTGGAATGCACTACCAAAACATCCTTTAATACTTTGGCCTGTATGAAAATGACACAACTTTAAACTCTATACAAGAACTTGTCAGAAATTCTCCTCTCATACCCTTTCTCTCCATTAAATTGTTTGGGTTTTTTTTTTTATTTAATCTGTATTAAGCTGCTGCAAACTAAGTCTCATTATTAATGAAGGCACTTTTGTCATTAAACTGTAGGATAAGCTGCAAGTGTTCTTATTCTGAAATGATCAAGGAGTTAATGGTACTGTTAGTATAGGGCTTGATTAACTTGAGTTCATTTATTACTTACTGATGAGAAAGGACTCATTGGAGCCTTCTTACATCACCACGTAATTGCAAAAATTGTCTAACAGATGAACCATTACAAATTAACTTTTGTCAAAACAACTAAGGGAGGAAAGATGTTTCTGCATCACTGTCCCGTGAAAGGAACCCCCAGCCAGTCTGCCCTGAATGGCAAAACGGCCACCAATCTGAACAATAAAGTGTTTTAAATGTCAGATTATGTTACATAATCATCTGTCTACATATATCCGTATTTTTAGGCTACAAGTGACCTGGAAAACTATGATAAGACTCGCCATGAGGAGTTCAAGAAATACGAGATGATGAAAGAACATGAGAGGAGAGAGTATTTAAAAACACTGGATGAAGAAAAAAGGAAGAGAGAAGAATCCAAATTTGAAGAGATGAAGAAAAAACATGGAGATCACCCTAAAGTTCACCATCCTGTAAGGCCACAGCCTGTTCTTGTGTGACTGAGTGTGAACTTTCCAGAGAGAAAAAGCCAATACACAGAAGGGTGTATTTTGTTTGTTCTCATCATTTGCCTCCTCTTACTGACATGGGAGCAGAGAGTGGGCACACTGCTGAGAGCATTACAAACCCCACTGTATGAACTCCCATTCTTTCTGTGCAGATGTATTATTGCTGCCAGAATTCTTACAAAGACAATGAAATTCATAAGGAAGAAGCCAGAACATTCAAAACTTCAAAACTGTAGGGATGCCTGCATGGTATGCCTGGCCTGTAAGGAATTGAATCACAGTACCATTTGCTCTAGAAAAGGCAAAATAATTCAGCTCCCTTCAGCTATTGTTTCTGGATGGGACTGTATGGCCATGACTGATTATTACAGTGTTCCTTTTCACAGAATATGTATTTTCTTTACACTCCCTCTTTCCCTGGGCCTTTCTGTCTAATGAAGATATTAGACTTCACCAAAAGGGAATGAAAGAAAATGCCACTGATTCCATTTGCCACATGACTAATCAGCAAATAAAGCAAGCCTTTCAGAGAAACCATAATGGAAAGGTAATGCAGGGAAATGACACTAAATTGTCTTTTGAATAGTTTTTCTTTGTAACCAATCTATAGGGAAGCAAAGATCAACTGAAAGAGGTGTGGGAAGAAGCAGATGGACTAGATCCTAATGAATTTGACCCCAAAACATTTTTCAAATTGCACGGTAAGAGGTTTAGTTTTAATCTAATGAACAAGTGAAGTGACTTTGTTGCATTCTGCTGAGGACATGTTTGTTATATCTTAGGATGAAGTCTTTCACCTCAAGCAACTTGGATGAATCTGAATAGTACAGAGGAGAAAGTATTTGTTACTGTTTGTAAATTTTGTGCAATGTTTTAAATAGAGTTTGAAATTTCAACTACTATTGTTCAACTACTCCTAAAATCATACAGGCAAAACCCTGTAGTGACTCCTTAGGGAAGTATGGGTACTTAAAGGGCTGTCCATATCTATAACTTTGCTTTTACAGTGTGTGCTGGGAATAAATCCTCAGAGATTTGTGTAGGCACAAAGTCTGCTGTCTCATCATCTCTGCAGATGAGTACTATATACCCCTAATCTTTAGAGTGGTCACAAAAGAGCCAAGCCTCTTCAGAAGTTGCAGTATTCCCTTGATAAAACAGAAACCCTCTAATCCTGCCTCTAGATTTCTGAGGAATGAGAAGCTAGAAACAATAAGTAGAAGAACCAGTAGAGATGAGGATGCATCTCAAAGAACACCTTGCTTTACATGTGATGATGTCACCATGTAACCTTATGTTCTGATACTGTTAAATGCTTCATCAAAAAATGCCCCATGGTAGATCCTGCCTGGCTAGGGTTGCAAAAGGTTGAACAGTAGATGGAATTTGACTGATCCCAAAGATGATGATTTAGATAAAGAAAAGTGTTCTAGTTTGAGTCTAAACCTTTGTCTCAGTTTATAACCTATATAATAACCATATATTACAGAATCATAGAGTGGTTTGGGTCCAAAGGGACCTTAATGATCATCTAGTTGGAATTACTAAATCTTACCTCTTCTTTCTAGAAAGAGATTTTGAAAGTTAGCTTTCTGAAATTTTTTGGTAGCTTATTTCTGTAAAACCTACCAAAACAGAAATAGCTGAAATCACCTGTTGCCTTAGAGGTTAGTACATAGAAAACTTTGAAGCAATTACACAAAAATGCTGGGTAATAATTTGAAGTGGATATTTTTATTTCCATTTCAGAGGTAGTGTAAAAGGATATAAGATAAAGGATGGATCATTAATTATCAAGTATTCTCCTCTCTGCATTTGTCATGAGAAGTCATCTTACACTTATCACAAGTGCTGCATGTTTATATAGATTTTCATGTAATTCTTTAATTTTTTGGGAATCATATTTTTAGTTAAAGTTTTTCTGCAGAATCTTGCTGCTTCTGAGTCTAATTACAAATTTAGTGGTTAAATGGGGACAACTTGTTCTCAGCAATATTTTTTGGCAGTTGCAGTCTGCGCAATCCTGTGGTGACCTATTTCAGTTCGCTAATCTAAGAAGTAGAAAGATTGCTTCAGACTTGTCCAACTAACCAGAAGTGACAATACACTCCAGCCAATGCCTGATAAAAAACCTAAACAGAAGAAACAACCTATGTAACCAGCTCCTTATTAAATGTGTACACTGATCTTTACTTAACTTCTGGAGAACTATTATGTGTATGACTTTCTATATGTACTCAACTTGTATTTTTAAAACTTCTTTTTGTAGATGTCAATAATGATGGTTTCCTGGATGAGCAAGAATTAGAAGCTCTCTTTACTAAAGAGGTAAAAAAAATATATTCAGAAGCTTAACTTCTTTCAGTAAATGGTTACAGGGATATCTGTTTATCCCAAGTATATTTGGGAGCTTTGGACTACACAACGCCAAGTTTCGTGCATCCTTAATATTTCTATGAAAGTGTAAAACCTATTAGCAGGCAAAATAAAGTAGTTGAAGCATAGGAGTCAGATACCAGAAATCTAGTGCTCTAGTGCCCCAGGCTTGCTGGAGATTCTATAACTAATCTGCAGGATAAGTATTACCTGTGTAAATGGCAGTGTAGAGAGCTGCTCTCCCTAGATGCAGCCTGATAAAGGTTCTGAAACTGGGCACCTCTGCTCATTCAGTGTTCATCAACAAGTCTGATGAGAAAAGTCACTTGTGAGACTTTGCTCAGGGACAGCACTGTGGAAGTGGCTACAGAAATTTCACGTATTTTATGTCTGGCTAGTTTGAAGTACATGTACAACTGATAAAGTAGACAGGCTCTTAGTTTCTTTAAGACTCGGTTTGTTGTCTGAAAATTTAACTGTTACAATAATTTGCCATAATCTCCTTCACTACAATGAAGATACAGCATAGTCTTTTTTGACAGATATCTCACTGTTTGATAGTTTTGCAGTGTAAAAACTAGTAGCCTGGGGCCTTAAAATTACCTGTGGCTGGGCAAGTGAAGCTCAATGCCTGAGAAAGCCAAGTAGAAGCATATGCATGAACTCTCCTTAAGGACATTGTGCAAGAAGAGAGCCATTAAATTTGGCACTGAATTTGTCTTGTGATACCCTGAATGCTTACAGGGTCAGCTGCATGTCCTGGTGAAAAAGCCACTCTCTCCCATTCCAGAAACCACTTGGAACCTCTGCCTGCTTTGAATCAAATGTAGGATCAGACTGTGCACACTGAGGTCAACTTGACTGAAACATCCACAGCACTGAATTGTAACAGACCACATGAATTAACTGAAAACTTCATTCTTAGGAAAGAAAGGCTCACTTGTTGCTTAAATACTGTGCTGAAAGAGTAAAATTGCACACACAGAGAACATTTTACACCACTTTTCCAGATATGCTTTGCCATTTGAATGAGCAGCCTTTTCTTCAAACTAACATGTACTAATGTTAAATTTCAGTTGGAAAAAGTTTACGATCCCAAGAATGAAGAGGATGACATGGTTGAAATGGAAGAAGAAAGGCTGAGAATGAGAGAACATGTAATGAATGAGGTGGGGGCTGATTCTCTTCTGTGTTCAAAAAATACAGTTCTCCGAACATGAAGTGTTGTCTAAGTGCAGCAGAAAGGGATGGCCTGTCACACTAAGTGCTGCTGGTGCTGGGATTCATGCCAAGTTACAATTGTCAAGCCCCGTCTCTGTATTCTGATGTAATGGCTGCTGACTAGTTTTTATTTGAGGAGTTCCAGGGAAGGAATTGTTCTATAGCCTCAATTGTTTGCAGATACTGAGATTCAACAGAAATTCCTTGTGAGTTGTGTGTCAGACAAGGAGGACTCTAAATGTGCTTTGGCACTTGGCAAATTGATAAGATTTAGTTGTGAGGAAAGGGAATAGAGAAATGTCATCTTTCATATAGCTCAGCTTTGTCCCTCCAAAGGGGGATCAGAACTCAAGCTATCACGTGTGACAGTGAAGACCTTCACTGGGCCTGATGGGTTTTCAGCTCAGGAGACACAGGAATGGAAAAGGGGATGTTTTGAACCACTGCGTTTTCCTCACATAGTATTTCTGTATTCAATTGCATTCCTTAATCTTGAGGAACAGAACAAGCCTGGTCATCTATTAGTCATAAAGGGAAACATTTCCTCCCTTACCCTTAAATGATTCCAACACAATTCAGCTGGGTGGGATTTTTGTTTTCAAAACCTCCCCCTCCAACAGCGGAGATAATTTTGTAACTGTGTACTGTAACTGTGAGTCAGAGTAGTTACCAGAGAGCTACAAAACATTTTTCCATTTTTTTAAAGTGTTTCCAATAAAACCAGTGAATTTTGAAGTAAAATGTCAGTATTTACTTTGTAGTTTTGTTTTTGTTAAGCTGCATAAACTTATGAGAGAAGTTTTCAGAAAATGTTGTGGGCAGTCCCTTGAAAATTGGACATTTAAAAAAATTGAAAATTATTATTTGATTCATGAAATTAAAACTTAGCTTCTCCAAAACCTATTCTTTAGATTGAGCTTAATTTTTTTCTTCAAATAGGTTGACATCAACAAGGACCGCCTAGTGACTTTGGAAGAGTTCCTGCGAGCTACAGAGAAAAAGGAATTTTTGGAGCCAGATAGCTGGGAGGTAATGAAAATGTGTTCCAAGTACAACATACAGCACCATTACCAGCATTTGCAGCAGGAAACCAAACGGCATGTCTGTGACCTTTGGTTTTTTTCAGCTCTGCTTTGGTATGTGTGTCGTTAAGCCCCTCAGCTGAAGGCAGCATTCAGCTTCGGCAGCCTAAATGTAATGCAGATGTGAACTCCACAAATGGGAAAGGTCTGGCGCCACCCCGGGGATTGGAAGAGCTATTCACACATGCTTTTCAAACGGAAATGCACATTTTGTTTATGAATGGACATTATGTTCACTTCAAAGGGAAGATAAGAGCTCAGCTGGAAGAAAGAGGATATTTTTATCCTACATCTAAATCCCTAGTAGAGCTTTGTTGAGAAAATAGCTGAGAAATTACTATTTTGCTGTTTTCATTGAATGTATACAGTGTCATGTCTCACTATTTTGTTCTGAGGGTTTTTTAGTGAACTGTGAAAGAATTTTAGTAAGAAAATAATAAAAAATACCCATGCTTTGTTGGCTAACTATTCATACTTGCATGTATTTTCTTGCAGACACTAGATCAACAGCAGCTCTTCACTGAGGATGAGCTGAAGGAATTTGAAAATCACATTTCCCAGCAGGAAGATGAACTTAGAAAAAAGGCAGAAGAACTTCAGAAACAGAAGGAAGAGCTACAGAGGCAGCATGATCAGCTTCAGGCTCAGAAACAAGAGCTTCAGCAGGTACATGAGTGAGGACAGCATATATTTGTTTTCATCTTCTCTCCTTATATGTGTAATGTCTCTTCACAATTCCCAGCTCTGGAGATTTACCTTGGTTTCTCATATGAGTCCCAGCTGAATTCTGAACTAATGGTACCACAGTAAAACATAGTCTGTTGTTCTGAATTAAAGCAGCTCAGCACTATACCCACTAAGAAAGACCTTACATAACTGCAAAATTTGGTTTAGATGTATTAATTTATGTCACATTGGAGAGAGCTGACAAATTCAAGTTTTTCAACTGTTGTATTTTATTTTTCACCAGGTTGTAAAACAGATGGAACAAAAGAAACTACAGCAAGGAAATCCTCCTGCAGGACCAGGTGGAGAACTGAAAATCCAACCCCGTATGTGTCTTTCTGTGCAGATGCACAGACTTTTTAAAATAAGATCTGCAATGTGAAAGTCATTACCTCCATATTTTCTGTTAAAACTATTAACTTAATTTAATGACCTCTGGAGAGAGGTTCACTAAGCTGTCTTTCAGAGGGAAGTATGTAACTCTTCTAAGTACTCCTGAAATCTCACTGCTTTTAAGTCCATAGTAAGAAGCCAGAGTCCTAACACAAAGTATCCAGTGGGCAGAGAAGGAGGATTGTGTTGTATTAGTCTAAAGTACTGAGATCTATAGCATCCAGGGAAGAACAGGGGCATACAAAAGGCAAGGTCCCATGATCTATGGCTGCACTGCAGTCTCAATCTGCAGAACAAATCAAAGCATTTAAAATTCTCAGTGGCCAATTTACCTGCAACTGGATGCAGCATGACACAAGAAGTTAGCCTTGGGCACTATGAATGACTAATTGCTTCAACACCCCCAGGAGAAGGCAGTGCCATAATAAATCTCTGTATTTCATCACTGATGGCAGCAAAACAGTCGGGTTACCACTTCTTATCCATAGTAGATTGCCCAGGTTTCTTTTGTGATTTAAAGGGGCTATGCTGCCCCCTTCATCCTAAATTAGCCTTTTCTTGCTCTTTAGATAGATTGAAGCTCTGCTGGCTTTATTGGCTTCTATGTTCATGTGCTGACATGACAAAGCTCAAGAACTTCTTGACATTGGTCTCAAATATAAGCTTCAGATCTATCCAGGCAGCTTTTTGAATACTAGGAGCTCTTAACTGCTCCTGAAGGGCCAACAGAGGGATTTCAAACCTCAGGAGCATGTTCAGTGATTACAGCTTACCTTGCTGAGTACCCTGAAATTCTGCCCACTCAGTTCTATGAAGGGAAGTGACGAGATTTCAGAACCAATTTAATCCTGCCCTTTATTTGCTTTGACACTACCACTGTCACTACCCACTACTATTACTGTGGGTAATTTTGTTTCATGATCCTTCATTCCAAGAGCCTGAATTCCCCTCACCTTCAGTAAAATCATTGTGTGTAATTGGAGATGATACATCTTTTGATACTGGCAATGTTGTAGTAGATACTGTTCTTAACACATATATTATTTTATGTAAAAACATGTAAAACATGTAAAGTCATTTAATTAGGTATCATGAGAATTCATTATATTAGCCAGAACAGGTCACTACTCATTTACTGAATCAAGGATGTCCAAGTAGACTCTACTTTAAATCTGAAGGCCACTGGAGCTACTAAGAGTAATTTAAGGAAAAAAAAAAGAAGTCCAGAAATGGAGCTGCATGTTCTGAAATCTTCATTAAACTATGAAAATGAGTATTACTCAAATGTAGGCAAAGGCAGAACATTGCAAGTACTGATGCAGTGAGGAGTAACATACTCGAGTTGTTAATTATTTATTTTTCAAGCTTCCTAATATGGGATTAAAGGTCTCATTAAAACATGATTTATTTCAGAAAGAACAATGTTATGTGAGAATATTTCACAGAAAGCAGAAAAGTAATCTTTACTTGTAATCATTTCCTGAAAACCTTGTTTGCAGAAAGCAACTTGTAATCTAAGAGGTAACACTGAGAAATAGGGCAATCTGTTGGGTCTCAATCCAATTTCATTGTTAGGAACAATGAAACTCTTGATTCCATTTATAAACCAGAAAATAGAAGGTTTTGTTTGAGTATCCCTATGCTAGAAACTTTCATTTAGAGATTTTTCACATTTAGGGCCAGTTGATTGAGAAGTTACAAATGTTTCTCATCTTGTTTTCCAGCTGGTGAACACAAAGCTGGAGATGCACCACAACACCCAGTGGGAGGTGATCAGCCTTTACCACCAGGACATGTCCAAGAACCAGCTGTCAGAACTGATCAAGTTCACCCTTAACCACTTGTGCCTCAACTTTATAGCATCTTTATTATTTGGGGTGGGGAAGGGGTGAGAGG